ATTTAAAAAAAAAATCTCTCTCTCTTTCTCTCTCTCTCTCTTCTCTCTCTCTCTCTCTCTCTCTCTCTCTCTCTCTCTCTCTCTCTCTCTTTGTGCGTCTCTGTCACCTTCCCAAAAAAACATTAAAAAACAAGCAAACCCAAACAAATAACACCCCCCCTCCGCCAAAAAAAAGAATTTAAAAAAAAAATCGCTCTCTCTTTCAGTCACCATCAATGACACACCAGGGTATTAAGCGTCCTATTTGAGAACCGTGTCACGAGAACATAACTGGTGTGCACACCAAGCTAGATTTGTCCTTGTTGAAAGCGTCGTTCGACGTCACATAATAGGGTCATAGTACGAATCTATAGTGCAATAAATCTCGACGTCTGCACTCCCTGTAATGGAGTACTAGAAATGTTTGTCTACCCGTAACATTACGTGACTATTTTCTTATTCGAGCGTTTCCCGTTGCTTCAATTTCTACTATTATTGTTCTTTAAGACGTGACTTTCGTGCCGGGAATTTTTTTCCTTGGGCTACTCATTTAAAGGCACTGTCCTGACACCTGGTTTGTTGTAGGATAATTGTTTAGTTGGCAGTTTTAAGGTTATGGTCCGAGGTCACGCATGCCTGTTGTTGTTTTTTCCCTAAGATTTGCCAGATTTTAAACAACTTTGAACTCAAAACGGACCAACTTGGTTTTATTAGGGAAGGGTGTGGATGGTGGATGGCGACAACAAAAAACAATACTCGTCTTCTGTTAGTACAAACATTTAGTTACATTTCAACCGTTTTTTAGTTCTTTCAAATAAACTGTAACGTAAGTTGTCGTTACATTATTCTGAATCAAATCAATGCAGAACTGAGATGTCTCATAGGTTTAGATAGTGGAAAAAGCCATAGCAAGAAAGTAGTACCTATCCACTCCTACAAACTCGCTCGATAGTGTTCATCAGTATACAGTTCAAGACTCCTTAAAACACGCCCTAAAGGAACCGTGTTTTGTCCGTGTTACGTGGTTGTTTACGACTCCCAGAAATCGAACTCGGGACTTCCTGATTACGAGCAAGAGCGTCTTAACCACACCAAGACGACCATCACCCCCCCCCCCTTCTTTGCCCTTCATTCACCATCCCCTCCCCTTTCCCTCGTTCTTGGAGAAAGGCTCACATAAATTGGAAAACAGGGGAACATTTTCTAGTCCATCACCCGCTCCTCATTTCTTTCCCTGGTTCTACCCATTTCCATTCGCGACGCCTAAAATCAAAGCACACACCTAATCAAGCTCAGGAAAGCGCTGGAAAATATGGGTTAAAGCTCAGTGGAGTGGAATAATTAAACAATCAAGCCATTACGACAGACCGACAAGTAATCAGAGCTCGTTGTCATGGGCGAGGAAATTCACATAATATTAAAAGGCTTCCAGGAGGTAATCTATCTATCTATCTGTCTATCTATCTATCTATCTATCTATCTTTCTGTCTTTCTATCTATCTATCTATCTATCTATCTATCTATCTA